TTCATATGTAAATTGCCCATTTAAGCCCATGTCGATGCAATCAAATTTGACAATAAGATGCTAGGTGAAGACCGAAAACTGCTTGTCAAGCTTAGCGGCTAAGAGTAGCCAAAGAGACTAACATACGATGGTCAACTTTAACAACGGCTTAACTATGTAAGCTTTTATCGAAAACTCATTGATGCGTTCAGCAGATTCATTCAACAATTAGGACAGAATGACAGCCGGTTGTCAAGATTAACAGGAACATGACAAGCCGGTCATACTTAACTGTTGACTCATCTCTATGATCAGCTCTCACAACAGTCAGTTTGCTGGCGATTAGTTACGACACTGTTAAAGAACTCGAGATCTCTACACTAGCCAGCTAGCGAACACTTTCTGTTGAAGAAGAAGAAGAAGAAGAAGAAGAAGATGAGGAAGGGGAAGAAGAGGCAGAGACGTAATCCCCACAGCTATAGCGAGTCTCTGGCTGATTAAGCGAGCTAGCATTGTTTGGTAACCAAACGCCAAATGCAATTCACTTTATGCAAATCGCATCGGGTTCTCGGCCATTACGGTAGTCGCCAGAGGTGATAAACCAATTTGGAATTTCACATGATGTCAGCAAATACGATAAAATACAAATTAACCAAAACTAATGATGCTGACTGCTGACTGCTGACTGATGAATGCTGAATGCTGACTCTTCAATATAATTTACGGACTATAAATAGTAAAATGATTTTACATATTCTTTGACTGGAAAATCAACTGTTTAGAGAAAGCCTTTGATCAGAAGGGAACAGTGAGAAATTCAAATTGAAAATCAAATTCAAATAAAATTATTATTAATATATCATATTTCATTGAAAGAAAGTGAAAACAAACTTATTCTCTCGCAAAACAGACCACAGAAATCATTCGATGGCCCTCTATTATGTGAGACAGTGTATTTACTCAAATTATAATAAGAATAAGTCATTAATTATAATAATAATAAGTCTTGACTAAACACAGCTGTGTTTCTAAAAATATTAGTGGGACTGCCTTGTACAGCAAAATTTAGTGCAAGCGATTATATTTTAAACACAATTTGCAATAAATAGGATACATATTCTTTGTTCTATTTCAGTTTTTACAAAACTTGAGCAGATCTCCTCATTAGAGCTTGAGAATGAAAAATTATCAAAATTGAACTCGAAAAGACTAAGAACAAAATTTAACATTTACTATACTACAATATATGATATACATATATATAATATGTACCTGAATTTAAAATATTGTTAAAAAGTTTTAGGCTTTAATATAAGTATTAGAATTAGAAGAATTCTACTGTATTTCAATTCAAACATTTTCAAATACATATCATAATAGTCGCTGTAAATAATCTAATAAGATTTAAGATCTAAATGCAGGCCGATAAATAGAAATAAGATAAATTGAAATAAGAAATGCCCTAAATATCAATTATTAACGTTTCCTTTGGAAATCAGACACTAATTTGACACCTATAAGCAAAGTAATAGTAATTAGATACCCTGTAAATGCAAATTAGGGGTATACAATTCAAGAAAGTCGCTGACTCTGCAAGCATAGGGTATGCACAAGAAAAGAAAAAAGAGAAACACAAAAGAAATTTTATTTTGGGTCGCTGCGGCTGTTTCTGCTGCTGCTGCTGCTTCTGGTCACACATGGCGAATGAGTAATTTGGCAAAAGCTTAATTAATACTATCTGCAGTCTCAAATTAACATGTGTTTCGCCTTGCAAGTTGACAAATCAAAGCGCTTACTAAGCGTAAAAAATATGACACGAAATTCATTCATTGAAAAAAAAAATGAAAAAGAAAGAAGAAAAAAGCATAAAAGAAAACGAGCTAAACTGAAAGAAACATACATAAATGAAATGAAGAAAATGAAGCATTGCGCCAGAGACCAAAACTTTAAAGCCCCATGTGGAAAAATGGTAAAAACAACAAGTTTGTGGCTTTTCATTTCTTTTTTTGTTGCCAGACGGCACCAAAACAAGGCAAATGCAGCAAACGCAACGAACTGAAAGATATAGAAGCGAAACAACAACGACAACAACAACAGCAACAGAAAACTCAAATGCAATAGCTAATAGGAAGGGTTTTCTCTTTTAAGCAAGCCAAGCGAAGCTGGCAAAGTTTCATCAATTGGATTGGCAATCGGTTCGAATCGTGAATTCGAACCTGGCGACAATAAAAAGACGCAACAACAACAACAACGGCAACGACAACAGCAACAATGGCGACTTAGGGCTGCCGGCGATCTGGCAGCCTGACCGACGGAGAGGGGCTTTGAGGCGGGCCATGGGTATCGCATACCAATTTTGAGAGACTTGAAAACGTGAAACGAGTGAAAACTCAAAACCGGTTTTGCCACATATGTACGTACGTATAACCCAAAGCCCCCCTCCCCACCTCCCTGGCCAAGCCCCCTTTAGCCAAATGGCTTTGGCTTTGGCTAAGTTAACGATCAAGAAACGAACGAAAAAAAAAATACATACATATATAAACATTTTTGCTTTGGCACGCAGACAGGTACTGGAAACCAGAAGAAGCAGAGTAGAGCTAAAGTAGTTGGGAAGTGGAAAGAACAAGCAGCGGCAAATGGACAACAGCAGCAGCAGAAGTTGCTGTTCTTGTTGTTGTTGTTGCTGCTGCTGCTGTGTTTCTATGAGGCACTTTGGCTTCGCCTGCGGAACAAAGAACCAAGCAAAAGAGCAGCAAAGAGAGCGCCAAAGAGAGCAAACACGAACAGAACAACAAAAGCAACTGATAACAGTAATCCGCCAAGCGTAGGTTCTACGAAGCCAGTGTGGAAAGCAAAGGCAAAGGAATGAAGAAAAACAAAAGAAAACTGAAAAACTTCTGTTCTGTAATTAATGTGAACAGCCCTGCTTATGCGCTGGCTATGCATTACTCTGCTGTCCAGCTAATTAGAAAGCATTAGACACGCTAGCTGCCAGCCGTTGAAATGTAATGCCGCAGAGAGTTGCCTCTAGCCACACTTTTTATGTGTGTATGTATGTATGTATTTTGGGGCATTACAATCAATTTGCTATGGGCCAATTAAAATGCAACAGAACAGCATTACCAATTGCTGCCACTAGACGCACAACCCAAAAAAAAAAGGTGGGAAAAGAAACTCAAAAAGGTTATTACCTTGTTCTAATGGCTTTATAAATGCAGCAATACGTACATGCATACACACATAAACAAACACACACATACTCGCAAACACATGATCAGAGAGTAACTTCATCTCTGCGCTCTTCCTAAGTCATTCTGCATTCATTGTATTTCCCTCTCACTCTACTGCATTGGCTTTACATACAGCTTTTGGCAAGCTGGTCGCACTGTTAGGATTAACCTTTAAGCGAGCGCAAGCAAAGCCAATCGTCGTCGTCTAGCGCCAATGTTAAAAACGTGCAAATATTTTCAGCACACGCTGCCATTAGCTTGTTTTGGTATGCGAAGTATGCGCGCACACACACACAGACATACACTAATATACAGTTTTGACGCTCTCTCTCGCTTATTGTCTCTTTGCGCTCTGCCTAAGCTGCACCTACAAGCCCGCCCCATTTGTTGTTGCTCTTCGCGTGTATTACATGCAAAATGAGAAATTACTGCTGCTTCTGCTGCTTCTTCGTCTCCTTTATCGTCTTCTTCATTGCTGCCTCCCCCATCCCTGTTGTTTATCCACAGTAGTCGTGTCGCTTGGCTTGGCTAAGCGCTCGCGTAGAAAGTTTTAGCGTTAACGGGCAAGCCAACCGCCCAGCCAGCCGCTTGGCCGCCCCTTTGATCATGCGCGCTGCCGTTGCGTTGCGTCGCGTCGCTGCCAGCCTGCCTGTTGCTGCTGTTCGCTTTCGACCTTTCTTCTTTTCATACGCCTCACACGCTGCGCCTTGCCCTTATTTCTTCTTCTTCTGCTCGCTAAGCAACAACACGCGCGTCTGTTACTGTTAACGATGCCGCTGCTGGTGTCGCTGCCAACGTTAACCGTTGCAGAGCGCAGCAGAGACACAGGTACAGTGGTACACAATCATAAGAACTAGAAAAAGTTGAATTGAAATATGTTGTTGTTCCTATAATTCTAACTTAATATGTGGGATTCTTTTATCTAAGATTATAATTAATAAATTATACTTCATTTAATTATTGTTTAAAATAACTTATTTATTTATTTAATA